TATATATATATATTTTTAATTTATTGAAATGTGATAGGAAGCAATGTTATTTGTTGTTCATGAGTAGTTCCCCATCTGTGTTTTGGAAAACAACATTGCATCTTTTCAACACGTTTTGCTGCTGCAGGATAGGATACTATTTCATTAGTAGCGAAATACAGTATCAAAGGCATAACGTGGTATTGTTTTTCACATTAATCTAATTGATATTCTTCGTTATTATATATACAGACGTCTCAGAACATGTCACAACCATCTGCGGTATCGAGGGCGTCGAAGATGATAACTTTTTGGCAGAGAATATGCGGTGAGAAATTTCAAGTTATGAATTTAAAAATGTGATATTGCCCTAGATTGGCAGGTACCTCATGCACCGGTGTTTTGGAAGTTTTGTTATAAGCAGTGAAAGAATTCCTTTGCCTGCCAAAACTAATCTATGACGAGTTGCCTTTCAATTATGGGCAAATTCTCTAAGTGAAATTCGTTGTATGAAATTTTCCACCAAATGTTCATTGATAAAAACGTGACATATTCAAACCCCTAAAAGTCTATACTGACCTACGAAGTAAGTTATTATTAAAATATTTTCAATTACGGTACTCACTTTATGAATTTACAATATCAATATTAGAACATTTAGTTTAACCGACTAATTATTCTTCTCGATGGCACAGGATCCATAATATCTTTTTATAACCAGCTGTAACTTCAACGGCAATAGTAGCGTATTAAGTATTTCTAAAAATAAATAACTTTAAACATAAATATCAGGATATAAGTGACTTTAGTCAACTTTAAATAACCGAATAGCATAAACAAGGAAGGGTATAGGAATCATCTGTCTGTATTTTCCTTCCCGATTATAACGTCGGGACTTTCGAAATTGTCAATTATTTTGTCGCAAAATACTTTCATATTGTCCAAATTGTCCCAAATCGTGTCAGTTGTTATCAATCATTTTAATAAAAATGCAATTAAATGCTATTGAAATTCAGATACTACACGCAAGCAAATTTTCTTCACATTGAAGTTGGAGCATGCGATGGAATACGTAAATGCTTTATTTTGAAATTATTAAATTTACTCATCTATCTCATTCCTGTACATTAACGACCAGTGATCATTACACATTGAGAGAGTTTTATGCCCCTTCTCCTGAAAGTTAAGCGCAATAAAGGAAATAACGCATGTTCGTAAGTAACTCACAGAAGAAAAATTATTTCCTTAATACGACATTAAGTGTAGGACGCTTCAGTGTACTTAGTAGCCAAGCGTTAGGAAGTGAGACAAATGAAACAAGTTCTTGTTGTGTTTAGAAGCCATAAGTATTTCTCGTCGAAAGAACATTACATCCTACATGTACATTGATACACCAACTTCATAAAGCACCCATTATCTTGTTATTAATAGCATTACTTTTTCTCAATTTGTAAGGACAATGAGTGAAAAAAAGCTTGTTAGTGCTCAACTTTTAATGAAGACATGTGTGGGAATATTAAGTTGACAAACACTTCTAAAATGGAAATATAATATAGTGTAAAAAATAATGATTGTATTAAATGCTGAACATCCCCATTCAATAGCAAAAATATTATAGGATACAATGAATTTGAGTTTTGTGAAAGACTTATTTCATATTTACTATGGGTATTAGGCTATTTGCTTTCTATAAATAGAGAATAAAATAGAATTGATATTATGCTCTACCACTAGAGTAATTTATCTTGTAAATTTAACAATAATTTGTATCGGAATGCATTCATGAAATGCAATAAAATGACACAATTGATCATATAATTTTATTCTATTTTAGCAAAGAGAATAAATATTCTATTCTATTCTAAAATATTCTATTTGATTATTCTATTGAGAAAAGAGAAAAGCGTACCTTGCAGCATATTGTTTATTTTCGATCTGAGAAGACATTTCAGTGACTCACAAATTGAAGTATACCAGTAAAAATGCAAAGAGAGAGAAAAATATAATATTTTGTTTTCATCACATCATCATTTCTAGTAATTTTCAAGAGAAATAATACAATATGGTTATATACGATATTACCATATATAATGTTACATTTAAATGGGTATGTGTTTCAATCAAGTAGTTCCATCATTAATGAAAGTTTATGACGTTGGTTTAATAGCATTGGTGATTCACGTACTTCCATCTCCCGAAAATAATAATAATAATAATAATAATAATAATAATAATAATAATAATAATAAATGCATTTAATTGTCTAAATCATACTGCACTACATTTTCTATTAGTGATAAAGTATTGAACAATTTAATTTAATTTCGTAAACAGCCATATAAAGCCTTAGATTTCTCACTTGTCACACCTCTACTTATTGAATCACAAATACGGCTTTCATTGTAAAGAAGCAGTAAGTATCTATACATTGTAATGCAAAGAAATAATTAGTTGCTAGTATGAATTGTTGAAATCATTCAAAATCTTGAAAATGGAAATCTATCAAAAACAAAGGAAAAAGAAAGAAGTAAAAAAAAAAAGCGGAAAAGGACAGAAAATTAACCCGGTATAGAAAGGAAAGAGGAAAGAGAAAATTTACAAGAAGGGAAGTGTTAAAAGCAGAGAGAGGAGATATGAATTGAAAAGATCAAAGAGGTGGTTGGGAAGCGCGGAAAGGCCGGAAGAAGGGGAGAAAAGGAGGGAAATGGGGGGGAGAGGGAAAGAGCAAAGCGCGGCGCCGCGCGACCGGTCCGCGCTGTGGGCGCCGTGAACGCCCTGCAAGCAGTCCGCTGCGACGCCGTGGGGGCGGCCGGCGGCCCTGCGGGCTCCTCTGGCGGCCACCCCTCGCCTCATCGGCCTCGCTCCTCTACTCGCTGGTAAGCGCCCCCCGCCCACCTCCACCGCTCTAAGTAGAGCGCCCGCCACTCACTCAGCCACCCGCTCTGCCAGCTCAGGAGCTCCGTGCGATACGAAGATGACCTCATCCTGCCGTTTTTAATGCTATCAGCATGTTGAAAGGAATGAATTATGAAAGTTAAAAAATGGGGTAACTCCTCACAAACCTGGGAACACGATAACAATACTAATGAATTAATGCTTTTTAATATATTTTCTTCGCATTTCAATATTTTAAACACATTCAACTTCATTGCAAAACATGATATTGCTTTACAATTAATGCATTTGCTTTCTGTTCATGAATCGTTCAATACAACTTTCATCTTTAAAAATTTCCTCTATATTTATTCACAATTATATTAATGTGATGTTGAGAAAAAATGGAGATTTTCCTTTCTTTTTAGACGGAAACAAAATTTAATCATGTCGTTTCTTATGTCGCAATTTCACATAGTGAATGAAAACTGTCTGGTTTTACTATTTAATAACGATTCGTTGAATTGTATAAGTTGTATTGATATGTTAATTTTGTACAGATAATACTGCTTCGTTACTCTCACGCGCAGGACGAAGCATCTTCTATTCCATGGAGCGCTCTGGTCATCGTCCGGCTTATTTGGCAAATGTCACAGGCCAAGCTCCTCTTCTCTGATGACACCCACCACTAGAGCACTTTCTGTACCTCCCTCGACCCCTCGAACAGATTCGGGACTTTGATGAAACAAACCTGAGGGTTCACAGCTGTTTTGAGACAGCAAAGTATACCTTAATTTTCTCTAGCACTTACACAAAATGCAGATAGTTAATGGTATTATTATTCCATAAAACATTTGTTTGCTACTTTTCTTTCACCTCCAATTTATGTGCTATATGCTATTAATTAAATTTTTAAGTGTTCCACTCTGAAATATTTTTAATTGAGATTGTTTCCTCTCATTTTATCTTCGTTCTTTTCCTTTGAGAGCTGTCACTACATTAATCTTAACAGGATTAACTATATTAATTTCAAAAGACTCACGACATTCTTAAAAGTTTGTAACAAGGAGAATGACTTCTAAAACTTTGTAAATTTGAATTAATATCCTCACTGCTAAGTTGTGCTTATGTGTGTAGAGGTGTAGATGAGTGTTGTAGTTTAGTCTCTTCTTTATTTGATTTGCCTCTTTTAATTCTAGCTTGATACGCAAAGAAAAACAAATAACTTGTCTCATTTATCAGTGTATGAATGAAGAATATAACGTGCTTATTTTAGTTTGCAATGTTGTCGCATAGAAATATAATAAAAGACGATATACAAGAGTTAGTGAAAAAATGCTGCACGAATGCTGAGGACAGGGAGTGGAGGGGCGGTGGAATCAGTTTTCGTTTATAAAAAACGGGTCTAAGAGAACGGGGCTTGACGCTAGTCTGTGTGAAAAACCTCTGTGTCTGGCATTCCGAGGTTGACATACGCTTAATGCTAGTAGTGATGGATCAGTAGACTTCAGTTGACTGGCACAGGTAAGGGGAAAATAAAGGTCCTAAAATCAGCAACAGCAGTCGTCATGAAAAGCAATCTGTTGCAATGAGAAGGAGAAGGATATAGGGGGTTTAGACAATGAAACACGATTTAAGATTTACTTCATTAGTAGTATTGAAATGAGTTAGAGTTACTAGTAATGACATTATTAGTATTGAATTATTAGTAATTACAAATATTAATTATTTCAATTCATATTATAAATATTATTATAACGCTTAAATCACTGTTAATGATTCTTCACTTCTGTTGTCGTTTCCTCCTGAAATGTGATGCCTTTTGGTGATTCCTACTGCAATTCGTATGACGTTAAGTTCTTAACACTCTTACTCTGAAATAATAGTCACTCGTACAACTCAATTTCGCGCTCCTCCCATGAGGACCTATGCATTTTTGACTGATTGCCGCCAAGGTCCGGCCCCTTAGACCCAGGGTTTATTGACGAAAATTAATTCCCATGAACCCCTGAACTGGATCTCTGCGTTGTGAACTTTCCTGAAATTTCTTATGGATTTATAGTTCGTGTGAAAGCCGATAAGAGATATATTTATTAATGTTAGATACTAGCTTTTGCATTGAAAATAGTAAGCAGGCGCAGTGCAGAGCTCGTTTATTTAGGAGACCATGACCTAATTCAAGTTCTCCACTTTAATCTTCCTCTCTTATGTTTGAAGTCACCTGATATCTCGGTATAATCGTTTAGCGCCAAGCACTTTCGTGCCAGTTCTACAGAACAGACGAACTTTTTGAGATGAGCACGGTTTTCATGTCTTCACCCAAAATTAACGTGAAGGATGCGGTTAAGATAATGTCTCATCAAGCAAGACGAGTTGCAAATTATCACTGCAAAGTCTTCACAGTCCGACTTTAATTATCGCCAATTAATGTTCATTAGCTACTAGCAGGTTATGAGATCGAATTGGCAGTCCATGAAGCTTGATCGCGTGACACGAGATGAACGACTTGCGATAAGACAAAAGATTGCCGTACGGCGTGTGTTATTTCCTCCTGACGCAACGTTACGTGACATAATGGGAGCGATCAATGACGATACGTTTCTGTTTATTGTGAGCTAACAAACCTATAGCAATCATGTAGACAGTTTTAACTATATATTCTAAAAATGTTTGAACAATTTTGTTTGACTTCGCAATACCATTGAGTAAAACTATTTTAAAAGAATGTTACTGCTAGTAAACAAAATACTATGTCTTGCAATTCCTTATTTTCTGAAACAGTACATTCGGAAATGGTTGATGGTATTGGTAGAATATTGAATCATATATTCTACGAATTCGTATGTTGAGGTGTAAGCAGCATGTCTTCTCATTTCCTTTTGAAATACTATCTCATTCAACAATCACAGTAAATTCACATGATCATATGTAATCAGTTTCAAGATGTGTCGATAAACAGGAGAAATGGGTTTATTTGTTGAATGCGCCAGATAAATAGATGGAGAGGACATACTTATTGAACTTGGAATATCGACCGGTTTCTTGGAAGTTCAGGATTGCTCTGATTGGACAAGCGAAATCGTGAAAAACCACCTGCAGTTTAATTTACAATACGAATGTGTGATTGAGTACTGCGTGATGCTATCTTCTGAATGAGTCACATCCATTGTGTGCCATTTAGAGGAATAAGATTTTAAGTCAGCTTGATTGCTCGCGGCACTGAGGAAGGAAATGGAATGAGGTTCAATAAGACTTTAAAAGAAAGTGAGAAAGAACAATCTGAATGTATGAAATCTGCATGTGACACATATTAATGTGTAACTGCTTCGGTGTAATATTAGGCTGAAATCCATTTTCGCGAGACGTAAAATGTGTTCTCTGAGATATCGCGTGTGTCGTATGTCATAAAAAATCATCTGCGCTGTGGGCCGTTTTTGTGTTGCAGGGGTGGACTGACGAATCGACTCTACGCTCGATATCGACTGGGAGATATGACGTTCGAGAAGGACCTGACGGCGAGGTAAATTGCTCAGAAATACTAAGATTTACCTTGGATAAGTAAAAAGAAGAAGAATCTCATTCACTTTGTAGATTGAAGGGAAACATCTGAAAAAAGAGTGTCTTCGTGACACATTTTGTTTCTGATGACAGGATATGTTTCTAAGAAAGAATAGTATTACTTAATGTTCGTTATAGAATGGAATATCCTATAGTTGGCTTATACAACGTAATGGAGTTACAATGCGGTGTACAATGTCAGTAATTTACATAATTTCTAGGGTATTATAAGGAGGTGTATTGACTTACTAAGCTTGTTATTTTGGGTACGATTTGCCACGTCAAATTACTGTAAACAATTTACCCGGAGTTTGATGAATTGTTTCAATTCTCAAATGAGTTAGTATGAATTCAAAGCTGCATTTCAATTCTCATTAAGCCTGGATCAGAATGCATGCGAATATTTCTTTGAAAATTCGAATAGCAATTTCAAGTAAGCATTAGAGTGAAGGTAATCTACAACCATTTAATAGCATGCCGGGGAATAAATACTGCCTAATCCCCATGAATGATATTGGATCTCGTCGCCTTTAATGAAAATATCTTGTTTGTTAAAATATCGTTCAGTATTTGAATTATTGAACGTTTTGTTTAAATATTGATTAGAATTACTTACTGAAAGTAATTGACGCGCAAAATTATCTGAAATAGAAAGTGGGACTGGAAGAAATGTGTTATATTATTTATATATTATAATCTTAATTTAAAAACATGACTACTATTCTTTACAATAATTTATAACATATATAAACTATTTTAATAACTTTACTGAAGAAATGAGTTCATTTCAATTTTTTCTACAAACGTTACCCTACAGCAACTTTTCAAATTTAAGTAATGAAAAATCATTTACCGTCTGGTTTGACTTATACTGATCTCATATCTTTGAGAAAAATTTAACGATGCTGTGCTTTTTTTATATTTGTTCTAACGAAGACAAATTATTAGTGTATTCTCACGGTTTAGATTATTCCAAGCATTCAAATTGAATGCCCATTGGTTTTTACTTTTATCGGAACTATTAAACTTCCTTGATATTTTTTTACCATATGCAGTTTATGAAATTCTGAATGCAGCTTAATGAAGAATATATAGTCTAATTTTCACTTTAATGCCAAACGCATCAATTCGTCAGTTTCCTCGGTGGTTAGCATAGCAATTTGTCTTCTTGCCCTCACCGATATCATGTGCCTTCCCTGCTATTAGTCGCGGCTGCAGTGGCCTCCTCCCTGCTGTGCACACACCTCGTGCGCCGGGGTCGCTCGGAAGGCGGCCTGTCGCTAGCGCGCCCGCCCCCGCCCCCGCGCGCCAGTCGAAAGGAGCCCTCGCGGCCCAGCACGGCGGCAGACAAAGACGCACGCGGCACTCACTGGGCACGCACACGCAAAGCAAAGGGACTAACATATTTTACAGGAACGTTCTCGTCCTTTTACTTTGCATTGTAATAATTAAAATTGCTTTATTTACACTGCATAATAAATAAAATGAGTTTAAAGATATTCTTAGAAATTCTATTGATATTAGAAGACATGCTTTGCGTATATAACATTTGGGAGAGGCTAACGGATTTAAATTAGGAACTAAATTACATTTGGTGTTTCAGCATCAATTATTTGTTTCCAGCCCTAAAGCATGCGACCTCTCTGTAAGACTCGAGGTCAAAGTTGCGCCAGAAGACGGAAAGTATCATCCCAGCAAATAAACGTTTTAAAAATTACGTCAAATTAATATCTTATAAAGGACATTAAAAGTGTCTTTGAGTAAAAAAATACGCTTTTTTATAATTAGTTACAACACGCAATTTTAGGATATGTCCTTTCTAAACACTCAGCTTATGTATACACATATTTATTACATACGTCATTTCGTAAGCGTAAAAATGTTTTCACTCCCAAAGAACCATAAAATGTTAAAACGTTGAATTTTATTATAGACACAGTAAAATGACAGAAAAAAGGATTTTCGAAAGCTGAGATACCTACTGCTATCTGCATTTCTTCCCAGAAACGTCACACTGAATAATAAGAAGTTGAGCACCGGTTTGTCGGACGCTAAAAGACTGGTTTCGTGGCTAAGTAATCAATCACTAAAATTCATAATGCAAATGCATAAATATGTTAATTTGAAATATCATTTGGAAGTTAAAAAAGCAGGCCAACTTCATTTCGTCGCCCTCCGCTCTTCGCTTGTCTGCCTTCGGGCCCAGTGCGCGGCGCGTGCGGCGGCCAGCGCCTTTCTCCTCGGGGGCGCGGGGGGGGCTCACGCAAGTGCGCGCGGGCGGGGCGGGCGGGGTGTGGGGTGGGGGGTGGGGGAGGGGCGATCGATGGCTGCAGCGCTGCGCGGTGCCGCAGGCGGGCGTCGAGCTGGTGCCGCTGCTGGCGCGGCGCCGCCACCCCTGCCGCCGACCGCCACCCGCTCTCCAGCACCGACGTCACGCGCCAGGCGCTGCCTCGCCCGTCGTCAGGTGAGGCTCGAAGCGTGCGCTAGCAACAAGTTCCCCATCAAAGTTGAAACTGGTGAAATAGCTCCCTTAAAGAAAAAACGTTGAATTAAATCTTTCATAACACTATATTGTCAAATCAACTTAACGCAACGACCAGAAAGCAAAATTCACTTCTAAACGGCGCGGCGTTCGGAATTAACACTTCGCCGTCCGTTAAGAACTGTCCAAACAAATGCGTTGTAGTTAAAGATAGCGTATGAGGAGTATACTTATTCCAAGTTTACATGATTTTTCTTATTTAATTATGTATTTCGAAGAGTATTGAGCCACAGAAGACCTATGAAACACATATAACAGACTCGCCTGGTTATAAGCTTTGCTTTACTTAATTCAACCGAGTGAGTTATTTGCTATATTTCGCCATAAAGACGTTAATAACTATTGCAAAGTGCCCAGAACGCATGAAACTAATAAAAATATATGAGTGGTAATTATTTAGCTACGAAGTACACCAGAAGCACCGCTCCAACGACTGGCTTCACCTGTCAACGACTATCTTCAACATAACTCATAAACGCGCTCCTATTATGTAAACATGCCAATGAAGTCATAATAATTCATCATACCGCATTAATCTCATATAAATATATAATAAGATTATCAAAAACGTATGCCTGACCAGTTTGGGAAAATGCTGAAAAATAAAATTTAAATCCATCGCAGAAAAAAAGTTTCTGAAAAACACAGGAATACAATCCTGATCATTCTAAACAATAAAATGCACTGAAAGTTCATATAGCAACAGTAATATCACTTAACATAATATCTTAAATTGCAAAATGTCATTCATGTTAACACTAAGAAAATAAATGTTAACTCCCATCCGCGCAAATCACCTACAGAAAAATGTACAGGTGCAACCCCTATTGTTATTGGTTAAAACCAATGAAGCAAAACGGAAATACATAAACCAATCGCCGTTTTTCGAACGCACGATTATATAACGTTCTCTTCTTACGAAATTTTTATTCATAAAAGCGAGAAAAAATGATAAGGCCGCCAGAAACAAAGTGAAGCATTCCTGAAGAAGCATACTAAACCAACCAATGAACTAATGGATTAATTTTTCTACAATGAAAATGTAACTACACCTGGAAATGTTGGTTTCCCGCTTTTAATCTGTCTGTTGGATTGAAATGTGTGTTGCTCAATATAGCGTAACATTGATAAATTGCAAAAAGATGTTTTGGTTATTACAAGAACGAAATGACTACGCAGCACAAAGAAAAAATAAATAACTGTCTCCTGTTTCATAAATATTTACACTGATTTAATGCATACATACGAAGAAAAATGGCGTTATTTGCTGCTCTTCTTATATTGAAAATTTTATGAGCAATTTTTTTTATTTCCAACATAAAAAATTAAAGAAGTTCATGAAAACAAAATTAAACTAATGAGAATAACCGACATTTTACCCTCTTAGTTTTTACTCCAAAATGTTGCAGATAAAAAAAATGCATGAAGTAATTTAACGCTCTACAATTGGACTAAGTTATGCAAAACGCATACAAGCTTTAATAATAAAATTATGAAGTAAGAATAATAATATAAGGTTTAGCTTTTCTGCCTCCAAAGATCAACACATAGCAAAACTTTCGTTTTGTTGAAACGTTGTATATTGTGAATATTAATTAATGTTATAAATAAAAATGTTTATGAATGTGAAAACTAAAATTCAAGCAGCCTTTAATTAATTATGCAATGTAATGAAAAATGAGTTTTCTATTTTATAATACTTTTTTCTACTTTTTAAAATAATTATTAATATTTACATCAACTTCTCTAAATTTTTTTAAACATTTGAATGAGAAAAAAATGTTATCCTATAAATAAATGTATAATATGAAAAATACAGGCCTTTCTCGTTTTGGGAATTTGTTTTAAGCGAATTTATAATACCTTTCTTCAGAAAAATTTTACTGAAAGCACGCGCATCTTTCTACACATTCGTACTAAGTGTTTTCCATTGTGTCGTCACAGTTAATGAGCAACCTGATTTCCCTTTGTTACTTGCAGAGTTGACTGGAAAGCCGCGGCCGCACGCTCGTACACGGCGGACCTCACGCAGCAGGTGGCCACGAAGCAGCAGTACTTGCAGGTGAGGCATCGCCTGATCAGGGGGAGATAAAGATACGGTGGTAATGAGTATAAAAGTATAATTATGTCAAAGGCGAAAGATGAAATCCAAAAATTATCGTATCATTAATTACCTTTTTTATTATCATTGAAATTCATTTCACAAACAGAATTGCTAATTAGTTTCCATAATAATTAATTTTAATGTTCTGTAACGTGTGTATTTGAGAAAATGTGCGTTTAAAGTATGTTCAGGTATTTGGTGATAACATTACTTGCCGAAGGTCTAAAAACTAATAATGAATACTGATGTATTTAGTGTTTTGATCCAGACGTGTGCTACGTTCAATCCAAAAGGTTGATTACATATAGGTATACTGCAATTTAGTATATTATGGAAATACCCATTAGCTTCAAGTAAGTTATTCTATTCGTGAGGATATCGAGATGTTCTACATGTGCAAATATCCTACTCCCCGGATCTCCCCGCCTTCTTGTAGGCTATTCTTCTAGACTAACATATACTAATTAAAATGAACATTGTTAATTAAATTTGATTTTTAATCAACATTGATTAGATTTCAGCTCTGGCTGGAACTGGCTTTGAGTCCTTGCTGGTGTGTAACTGTGCTTTAAAATTGTGACATGTTATTACAATGACGTGAGATGCAAGATAAACGTATTTGGAACATCTTTATAATTTTGAAAAGTATACCTAGACTCAAATAATGTTTTACAATTCACGTCGGTAGAGTTATTGTGGTGAACCAATGAATGATAGGGAGGAAGCTGATACCTATGTCCATTAATGAACTCCAAAACAATGATCACTCATTACTTTTTAAATGAATTAATTGAAAATACTTTCAGTTACTATTGCAAGATAATACTGGGAGATGGAATATTAATACTAGACGTATGCATGTTTAGTACGAAACCACTGAATGGAAACTGTAAGGAGAAGTGTCTTCCGAAAGTAAGCGATTATAAGTTAGTGATTTTAAACATGTGGTCAGTATTGTGAGATGAAATAATATAAGTGTATTAAAATTAATATATGAATAGTTCAAAATAATGAAAACAGTTTTAAGCATTGGTTATATCATGCGCTTTTATCAACTCTAATATTAAACGATTCCTTTAATCGAAATTAAGTTAATTAATCTTGCATAGTTTCATTAAGAAATTCATTGAAATTTCTTAACATCACTACCATTTTAACACGTTTTTATACCCGAGAATCTACAATTACATTTTGCAGCGTTGAATCATAAGACGAATGCTACGATCATTTTAAGATATTCATTAATCAAAAGTAAAAGACAATGAGAGCGGTGAGCAAAGGCGACTTAGATAGGCAATCCGTCGTACAGACGTGTAGTACGAATTGCCTACAAATTTCATTTTTATGTTCATTGGCTTCTAGGATTGATTTTTTGGAGATTCTAAGAAATTTTAGAAGATTTAGGAAGCTTAAAGAAATAACTAACATGTATTTATACGAAATAATGTTAAATAATTCTAATCAATGGGAGCACTGTTTTGTACGTTATTGTACAGATCAGTAAAGTCAAGTAGTGACAATGCACCAATCTTATATGTTTTTAAAATACCACTCATTAACAAAATAATTATTTTATCCGTTACAAAAAAACTCTTCTTTATCATTTCTCTTTAGACTATTTGCTCTGAATTTTAAAAAATGACAAAAGAACTTTATGGCCCATAGGGCTATATTGTGCTCATTAGGCGGCGACGGTTCGTGGTTTTCAGTAAGTTGCGAAGAATATGCATGGTTGCACAGGCGGGCGCTGGTGTAAAAGTGAGGCACAGAAGTGCGATTGAGCTGATGGATGTCGTGAAAGAAACCTTAATAATACCTTAACTTGTTTGTTTATAAATATAATCAACTATCCTGAAAAATATCTATTACGATATATTTGAAGTTCTATGACAACAATAAAGTTTTAAATGGAATTCATAGTCAACTCAAATAATCTATCTTTTATCTTTGTGTCGCGAATGCGTTTTCATACATATGGGGATGGGAAATTAACGCTGTCATAAGGAAATAAAAGGTTCTGCTTTACCGGTGGTTATCGCAATGGTCATTATTGAGTACGGGTGTTTTACACTTCCTCTAAAGATTTTAGATAAGTTGTTGTCACAAGTTAATCTTAATGCTCCTTCTATGCTATTTTCAACCTTTCAATTATTTCAGTTCGAAGCTTAAATCTACAAAGTTGTAATTTAACAACTCAATAGCAGTTTTGAATACTTTTTTTTGGAATTCTGTGTTTTGCCACTAAATAGGATTCAAACAACTTTAATATCGAGAGGAGATTATTCAATACAAAATATATTAATTTGTGCTACAATGTTGTCAAAAACTTTACTCGCACACATTCTCGACCGATCTATAAAATCACATACATTTTACACACCGCTCTACTTCTCTCTAGTATTCAGCGTCAGGGACGTTATAATACGTTGTACAGAAGACACACATTGAGAACGAATGAATCTACATTCTTGTGTTGGCGCCGTTTGCGTTAAGCAGAGAGCCAGTATTACCAGAGCTGTCTCTGCGGAGATCGACCGCGAGGTCCTGGGATCGAGTTCTGCCGGGAGCGGATTTTTTAAACTAGATAAATGTATGTATGTACTTGGCACGACAGCCTGTGAACGTGCTCAGGCCTACCAGGCCAGACCGGCGACGTCCCTGCCTCGCGGCCATAGGTTAAAGGGGTTCGTGTGGTTAGCACGTAGACATCCCCACGCCGTATTCCGGTCTTCTCAACCTGAGAAGTGAATTTTCTCATCGACACACAGTAACATATACCGGGATATCACGGAAAAAACACACTATAGTCTCGGCTCGACCAGGATTCGAACCCAGGGCGGCGCAGTGGAAAGCGAGCTCGCTAACCAAGAGTTAGCCACGAGCCCAAACTAGATAAATAGCTATGTCAAATTCAACAGTTGTTTGGAGGATTCTACTAGTAGACAGCTTCTTTGATCGGTAGTTTTCCGTAGTTTTTCCAATGAGTACGGGGGGATCATTCTTTCATTTTCTTCGTTCCATCATCTGCTCTTACTTACACACTCGCATACTCACACTAGCATATGTCTGTCCGAAGACCAGTCGGGAGCCCGACGGTGGCAGGATTTTCGATGCAAGCTCTCAGCTAGGTCGAATTCAGTTGCTGTTTGAAGGAGAATTCTAGAGGTCGGCTGCTTTAATCGGTAGTTTTCCGTGGTTACTCCGATCAACATCAGGCAAATAATAGAGTAGTACCCTAACAAACGGACCACGGACCACGCGCGATCTTTCCTTCCTCTTCCTTGTCCTATCCCTTATTTACTCCCACACATCCACAGAATTATAAGCATTACACTACCACTGGTGTAGGGAGACCAGATGGGAGCATAGAGTTTGTCAATGAAAATACCTTGCTAAAGAAGATACCGTGGAAACCGGGAAATCAGTCGCAAGTTGACGCGAAGGTCGGTGCCGGATTTTACAATTAAATGGAAGAGAAACACCACCACTCCATGGAATAAAACACAAACTACACTAACGAAAGTAATTACCATAGCAGTTGACGTGTCAGAAAACGTTTGAAGAACAGATTTTTAAAAAGAAAATCACATATATTTTTAATATTTTAGATGTTGAAAAACGTCGAAAACTAAAATAATCTACTGAACACCTACGATGAAAGATTTCGTCAATTACAAATATTCCAAATCTGTCACAATATAATCTAAGAATGCAGACAGTTCCAATTCAATTTTTATACTGACGGAGTAATAAATCTAACCCCTGCGCCACGCAATGACGTCTCTGTCCTCGCTGCCTGACACGAGAGCGGGGGGGCTGGGGGGGGGGCGTCTCAGCGCGACAGCGTCGCATCGGTGATGAATCGTTTGCGACGTCGCACGCGATGAAGCGGCCTCCGCTGGGACGAGGCGCTTAGACGGCAGGGGTGCACACGCGGCCGTCGCTCGCTCGAGGAGCACTGGAGGTGGGAGGTTTTAGCGATTGATAGAAATGCGAAATATCACCAAACGCTGAAATGACTAGTAATTTTACATTTGACGCTCGGTGCAGAATATTTCTAGAGGTTTTCAATCTGCGATAAAATTCAAAATTAATCGCAAAATGCGAAATTACCTACAAAGTGGGAAATGGCCGTGAATCTGCAATATATTTACTAAATTGTATTTTATGGTTTCTTTCGTGTTTCGTCTCTAACTAGAGATGTGCCAACAACACGACGATGTTTGAAAACATAATCTGAGAGTGTCCATGTTTATTCATTATTTATTCAGATTTAACTGATAAAAAGAAAATTTCAAAAAACTGATCCTTGAAGGCTGAGCGCTCAGAGTCCTTTCAAGAACTTCCTCAGTTTGCTATATGGAAGGTACGGGAAGAAGAAGAAGAAGAAGAAGGCCTCACCCTTACACGTTACTTCTTACACTGATCACGATTCTTACGCTTGAAGTTCATAAATGGAGAAATATTAAATCCTTTTTCTAATTTCCCAATTTAACTGCAGAAATGTAAAAAAACATTAAAATATTTTTTCCCAAAAATTCCTTGCTTAATAATAATGTTCTCAAAAAATGCTACAAAATACTAAACCATAATTTTTATTATGCTCTAGCTTTCTTTTCAAAATGCGATTTAAAAAAATTGAAAGTACTAAATTCAACCATCACTAAAGATCACTTTTATTACGGAAACTTTTGCAAATAGCATGGAGAAATTCGTGAATTTTAATGTTTAAAATGTATGCACGTAGGGCGTATGTTTCTTTTACAACTTTTGAACTACTGGCGGGATTGCTCTCAAATTTTGTACGCACACTTGTCAGATGCCGAGGAAAAGGTTCGCGACCCTCGGGCGTTACTTTCAATTTGGTTTCAACCCGACATTTGTGTTAGTGGGATCCAAAAATGCAAGCCAGTGTTGCCGGGGTGACCTTGTTGCTAGTGGGCGTTGCCGTGCGAGGGAAGCGAGGTGGGACACTGAGGGCCGAGCAGGGCGGACTGGACGAAGCGCTGAGCATAAATAAGACCCGAGTTATCACAACCAGTTTACTTAAAACTGGTCGTTCAGCAATACGGTCAACCACTGTACATGGAACAAAAAATAGTGTCTTCGAATATCGATTAAGACATTCTTGTGTTCATAGCTATTCGTAGAGTGGAAGCCAAGGAAAAATCACCACACAGATCTAATATCATCAGTATACACGCACACATTAATTCGCAATTGCTTATGGATATCAAAAATCAGTAAACAATCAAAAGTATAATCAATTCAGCAACTGTGTCGGTAAAAATGATTTTAATGATGATACTATTCGCTTTTTATTTCACAAAATACGTTAATGATTACACAATTTTGTGTATAAGTTTTGAATTCTAGTAATGAATTCGAAAAGACTTAAAATTAAAATATTTCTAAGTAATTGGTAGTTTGGCCTTGTCAGTTCTGCAACCCACATCCTGCGTCAGAAATTAAATTTTCCTTCGTTTGAAATTTTTGTCAATCTAATAGATAAAACTTGTGATAGAGAACTTGAGATAGATCAAACTTTTGAACAACACCTAACAACTTACGAGAAAAAGGCATCGATGTGTTTAAATAATTTACGCAAAACTTTCTAAAAAAGAACTAACAACTGTAAAGAACTAGTTCAAGAGTTGATAAGTACATGAAATGTTGTCGGATGTAACATATCCTGAAAAATGCTTTTTCTTGTTTCATATTTGCCTTATTTTCTTGAGAACTGCAGGGACGTTCTCGATGAATATAATGAAAGTTTTCATAACAATATAATGGCCAGGTCACGGAAGGGAAGGGATACTTTCGATTCTTGCTGACTGTTGCCAGAAGAAGAGAAAAAATAGCTGTCTAAATTCTCCGACGAGAGATTATTTTATTGTTATATTTGAAGAGATAATTTTATTGTTATATATTCTTATATACTAAGCTTTTTCATACAAAAACCTACATTTTATAGGTCAATACTTGCTTTCAGTTTTATTCTGATTGGAATGTTCTTTTTCAATTTTAATAAAAAAATTAGTAATAGTTACATATTTTGCCTAACAAATACACATAGAGGAAAAAGAGATTGCCTATAAAGACTGCCTAAAAGAAAAAAAACTTATTACAGATATGAATTTTGTTGACCGATTTCCCCACGAATCACGACCGTTTTCCTCAGAAAAATAACGCTCATGTTCAGTAGAACAGGGTTATCTGTAACGACATGATCGCACCCCATTCTAACCACGTGCCCTGTTGAGGGCTGCGGCGCTCACCCCTGCGCCCTCGCGCACGCACAGCGGGCGTCAGCCGTCGGCGTGGCGCGCGCGTGACATCAGAGCGGCGATTACTCGCGTGTGCGGGCGACGCTTGCGAACGCGGCCGCGCTTACGCGTTGGCAGCGGCGGCGCGGGGCGGGTCGGTGCGAGCGGCGGCAGTCGAAGGGCGAGCGGGCGCATGAGTGGCGGCGATGAGTGGTGCGGCGATGAGTGGGCGGGGCGATGAGTGGGCGGGCGATGAGTGGGCGGGCGATGCAGTGGGCGCGGCGATGAGGGCGGGCGATGAGTGGGCGGGCGATGAGTGGGCGGCGATGATGGGGGGCGGGCGATGAGTCGGGCGATGCAGTGGCCGGGCGTTGGTGTGTGAGGTGGATGGGTGGTTGGCAGTGGGCGTGAGGGGTGGGTGTTATAGCGACCGTCTTGGGTGTAGGGGCGGGCAGTGGACGGCGTGGGCGGCGGACGTGAGTGAGCAGGAGGGTGGTGGTGTGGCGGCGGGCAGCAGTGGGGGGTGGGCGGTGGAGGGCTGCCGCGGCGGTGGGTTGCGTACGTTCGTTAGGTTGGCGGGCTGGGCCGGTGGAGGTGGCGGGCGGGCAGGCCGTCGCGCCGCACCGAAGGGCGCCTTGTCAGAAGAGGCGCCTCGTGTCGCGTGCGCCGCCCGTCTTGGCTCTTGGCTCTTCGGAGTCGGAGGAGTTGAGGGCTGTCGTTCGCACACACCTCCGCGCACAGGCGATACACGTGGCGGCGGGGCGATGTTGATTCTTTTACGTCGCTGCGTGCTTCATGAAGTTGTGACGGCCTCTTTCCAACACACCTTGGATTTTTAAACATTTATACTAAAGAATGTGCATACACAGCGCTAATTAGTAATAATAAGGTATTTTATATTAAATATCTTACTCGTGTAATAAAAGAGTTCGATATTCGATATAAATTGTAAATATAGTACAAAATTAAATGTGTTTTTGTAGAATATTTCATAAAAAACACCGTTACCGAAAAGATGTAAAAAGGTAGGTTAAGGACTAATTCATTACTTGTAAAGCACATAATTCATTACTTACGTTCGTTAGAATATATTAACTTTTTATAATGAAGGAATATGCGAAACTGAGAACAATAGCATCCTAATGAACAATGCAAATTTGAGTAGAAACTAAGGCCGTAGTTGTCTATAAGTATTTGCTGCGTTCAAAGAAAATTGCACATTGGATAACCGTATCATAACTTTATATTGGGACTGGAAAACGTCATTATTATCAAGAATATGAGGGATATAAAAATGTTATGAAAGAATATTAAAATTACACTGTGCGTTCAATGTGTTGGGGTGCCCATATTTTATTAAAATTATTAACTTAACTATAATTACCTTGGAAGTCATCTAACATCAAAATACTTCATGGATAGGGGGAGTATATTTTTCAATGTATTTGTATACAACTGCATGTACTGAAATGTTTATAAATCTTGATTTTCCAGCATCTGACAACCACAGATTGAATTATCACTTTGTTACAATACAGTATGTTACTCTCCACTTGAACGAATTATCTCTACATTTATTTCGTCTGAGAAGTGTTTTCAGTATTGATTGCTCCACCACTCCCTGCGCACTTAACCCTTAATGTAGGATTTGTTTTACACGCGATACACAATTTATCACTCTCTAAATGTTTCGATTACTTCCTTTCACCCAACTACCCCAATGAAGTGCTTTAAATACTCAGGGAAAGTCATTTTCAGGGGGGAAACACCACACCGCCTTCCACTCATTCAAACGTACAAATGCTTTATTTCGCTGAAAATCGCTTCTTTTCAACACAGCCATCTTTTGACCACTCTTCAAACGTTCAGAAGTGTGAGTCAAAGCACTAAGATTATGTCTGAGTATTGACAAAGAAAATACTCGTATCTACTTGTTTTTCGCATACAAATTACGAGAAAGGCAAAAATGTTAATTGAGGCTGTCCTGCGGTCGTACCACCAGCCATACTTCAAAATTTCAATGCACGTGTTGTTTATATATGGCTTTCAAGTCTTACATTTGAGCTCGAAGTACAGGTGACAATGAAGATGCGAATGAATTGGAAAATTTTAAGACTCACTTTCTATGAGAATTTATGCTTCTAGGGCTATGTTAATTTATGAAGGAATTAGTTTTGTACATGGAAAGTGACTCGCCGTATTTTTATTATTTAGTGAAATAAACGTGAACTTAATGGGCAAGGTTAATGTGAGATATTATTTTTTTAGATTTTATTGATGAGACATGAATGTCACATATATTCCATCTTGTTTATGCAAAGAAACATTATTCATGGCAAACATTCTTTTAATCGGTCACTTTTAAACGTGTACGAAAATAAAATCAAAGAACATTGAATTCCTTTTCTTGGAAGTTATCGAAAAGACAATGGCGTTTATAGGGTAGCTGTCAGCAATTCTTGTGTTAAAACCTTTTTAGTTGATCCTCGTGGTATTTGCTTGAGCATGCTGCGTAGAGAGGTTTTATCCCCTTTTTAGCTTCTTATTTCACTATTCCTCCACTACCCATTCACATCATATCATCAGTCACCTATTCTTCGTATCAGTAATCTGTGCGAGATAAGATCACATTCTTTGGTACAAAATTAATAAAAAGTGTTTTATTCCAATGATGACAAACAAGAAATGAACATTTGCTTGCCATATGACATTGACTCGAAACATAGAAATGCTTTTTCCCAACCCTTTCATTGTTCGCATTATCCCTGTCGCTTATACAGTTGACAAAGGAAGCATTGTATTGTTGTGTGTGGCGATTGCAATTATGACGGCGAAAGCAGTGCGGGGAGGAGGTTGTTTGGAGGGCTGACGTGTGCGTGTGTGTGTGTGTGCGGCAGCGCCTGCGCCAGGAGGACGTGGAGGGCTGCCGGCGCCACTTCGCCACGTGGCAGTCGCTGTGGGGGCGGCCGGGCCACGGCGCCCCGCGCGACGACGTGCTGCGCCGCAACCTAGACCACCTGCTGCGCCAGCTGCCCGTCACGTGAGCCCCCCCCCGCCCCCCTCCCTGCCGCGTCATGTGTTCAGCGCCCTCCGGTCCCGCCCTTGCCCCTCCCGTGGCTTCTCTGACCAATTTCTTCCTTCAATTCTTTCACCCCCCCTATTTGTTTAAAACTTCTGTCAGTCTTCGTTCAATTCGTTCTTCTCCGCACGACTTGTTTCTTTCGAGTGTTTGATGCTGCCTCATTTCTGTTGTTGATCTAGTTTAATTTTTATTATTTTTCTTCTCATTCTAGTTCCTGTAGCTTTCCCTTCACTATTTCCATTATTTGTTACATTTCCCATTTTATTTCTCTCATGATTTTATTCCGTTATTACTTTTAACGAGCTTTATCAATATATTAACTCTTTTCTAGTTTTTGTGCTTCCAATTACAAAGAGAAGAACTCCTAATCCATTTCCCAGATTACGCTTTTTTCCTCATATTCGTTACAGTCAATACATTTTGCCTATTGTGTGATACCAATGACAATGCCTAATGGATGTTGGAAATGTTGCTAGTTAAGATCACAAAAAATATTCTTTATTGAATCTTAAAAGTTATTACTTCTGCAGTAGTGCTCCTTATGTATTTCGCACATGGGCAGTTTCCGAATTTACAATATTAACTTGACTAAGTTGTAAATTGAATGTCAAGTGTGATGGAAAGTAAAGTATCTAATGGTATTTCATTTCATTTTTAAGCGTTGCATAAGCTAAAAAAATCTTTTTGAGAAAACACGCTCGTGTTGCTACGAAGAGTTTATAATCTAGAATGATTTTGTTTATAATATACAATACAATAGAAAAACGAACCTTTTGACGAGGTCATCTTCTATTAAAAATATAAAATTTGAATACACTCATTCAAGGGTTCTAAATACTTTACCTGAGTTGTTTGGTGCCTTTTGATTAATTGTGTGTTATCTAACTTTATAACATTACACGAATAATTATTTCAAGAGTTTATGTTACTTTTTGTCACTTTTTATATAATTAATTATATCTATGACATTTCTACTGTCTTTTAAGTTACAGAATTTCATATTAAATGTAAATTATCTTTTTTTCTGTTCTTCTTACCACAAAGAAACAAGATCGTAAGTTAACTGAGTACATAACAGTCAAAATGATAAGGAGGGCTCTGACACATTGTTTCACGTTTTACTCATCTGAATTATTCATTTCCGTTTTTCCTTTGTGGTTTACTTGAAAGATAATTAATTTGAACTATTTTTTTCTTTACCACAGTAGTTTTTGCTTCGTGCTCTTCAAGGGCTCTGTTATGTTAGCAAATTATTAAAATACTTCAGAAGCTTTATTTCAAATTCTTTTCTCAGATCTTATGGATGAAATAAAATAGTGAAGGAAATATATTATAGTTCCAAAATATCCACAAAGAGTCAGTTGTAGTATTATTTTTTAGAATGGATGAAAAAGATTTAGAACGAAAAGGAAACGTACTGAAGCTATATTACACTGAACATTGCTTATTCTCTACCACTTTAAAATGTACAATATGACTTCCACACAACATAATGCTGTACAAGAAACATCAACATATGGATATGAAAATACTTGTAGAAGACTCTGCATTGTATCACTCTGTAATTGTCAATCTACTGTCGTTGTGGGCGTAAAAATTCTCCACTAGAACAAAAAGTAAACCTCAAAAGCATAAGAATATTGAGAGGATTTATTAACGCTCATGTAATTTTGTGAGTTCATTATTTTTATATATTTAGTAATTTAGGTTGTAAGGAGATATCAGTAGAGTGAAATTTATATTGTAATACCAACATATTGATTTAAAATCTATGGTTATGAAGAATGTATGTTGTAATGTAATACATTTCGAGTATATATTTATGATATCTAATTATTTTGATTATGCCATTAAAAATAGTTGAACATTTTTTGTTAGAAATTTTATTATATTAACATTTAATTGCAACGTAGCCTATGTTTGTTACTGAGGACACCTTACACTGAACTTTGTAGTTATTATGTAATTAAATTGGTATGCAGTAATATACTTTTATACACCATATTTGGTTGAAATAACTCAAACAATTTACACTACTTATTGATAATTAAAGTTCAAGGTAACAAAATACACCAAGCGTGATTACAGTTCCTCCCCCCGGAGAGTTTCTCTTGGTCTACAAGATGCCGGCTCACAGCGACTTCGTATGCTACGTTGTGATAGGTAGCTGTATGAAAGTCGAAGGAGAATTTTTGGCGCCGTTTCATATCATCACAAATGTACAGTAAGAAATACAATTAAAGGGAAATTATTTGTAGTGAAATTCAAATGACAATAATCACAAAGTTGATGCAGATTTCTCCACAACATATAATATCACCCTCATAAAAATTCCTCAATGAATATTATTATTCAATAAAATGATGTAATAATTTTCAGAAATAATAGTATATTTATCCAAAAGAAAATCTCTAGTTATCAACGATGAATTCACGCTGCTGTACTAATACTTGTATTTCTGACATATCACTTACTGTTACAGAATTCAAAATGTGATTATGGTGACCGAGATAGCAGTATAGCGTATGCCTTTCCAAATACTCTTTGTAAAGAAAATGTGTTTATAAGTTGTTATTGTTCGGAATATAAAATTGAAAATGTTTAAAATGATGCATATTTGTCTGTAGTAGTTGGAAATTTAAAAAAAAACTTGATAAATACATTTTACAATTGTGCATATCAAAATTATGTTTGTAATAGTTATGCAATTTATCCCCAAGTTGTCAAGTGTATGCCCAACTGTTTTCTGAAACTGCTTTCCACACAACCAACCTGTTTACATTCCTTCTATCATATTTAAATCCCCTCCCATTTCTTCCATCATGCACAAATAACAAATCAAAAACTGGTTTGGATATTATTCGCGCACGTTTTCTTAAACCTTCAATTCCCTACTCGCGTTGGTAATTTCTATGACAGGAGTATTGTATCAAATATTTTGCTCGTTTTTATTTGCAGAATAGTTTCTTGTACAGGGAGCGATCATTTCTGCTAATTACCTTTTGTCAAGAACGCTCCTCGCTAACATTTATTCTTAACTGAAATAATATTAGTAAATATTAAATTGTACAATCATTCGTTATACTGTATACAGTCTTTTATATTCACCACATGTTTTTAGAAAAGGGACAGATTTAAAAAAAATCATACGTTAAATACCTGACTATTTAATACATAATAAAATTTAATATTATTGAAAATGCCTGACTATTTAATATAAAATATTTACTTTATGACTTTCAAAATTTGACCGTTTTCCATAAGCGTGTGGAAAATTACCACGAGGTCAGTTCCAGTTCAAATTTATACATCGTTCTTCCATGTACCAACAAGCGTACAATGAAAGACGACCGCGTTATTAATGTCCTGCAGCGCCGGCGGGGCATTAGGGAAAAGCAACTACATTAGCGCTCTCGTCGCAATCAGGCCGGCGGCTCACGTCCATCGATTCCCGGGGGCCGAGCGTCCATTTCTTAGCGCGAGCTAATTACCCGGCCGGTTTAAGGGCGTGCGGATTGCACGTCTCTAACGAAGCTGTCGCGTGCCCTCCGGGGCGGCGCGCGTCCAGTATCGACTTCCGCGCGCGCTCCACACGCTTCGCCCGCGCTTCGTGCAAGCCAGTGACACGGGAGCCTTCGTCACTTTTGCCCGCCAGTCGGCCGACGGGGCGGACGGTGTGTGGCTCGCACGGCAGCAATTCGGTGGCCGAAAGAATCTGATCGAGTGTCGGGAATGGTTTTCGCGTCGCGGGAACGTGGGACGAAATTTAATCTTAATCTGTGAAATCACTTGAAAACTTTTTTACTATATCTTTTTTTCTGAAAACGTTTATCAGTTTTTAATAAGGGAAGAATTTAAAAGTAAAGAATGATACTTAAGTGACATACTAGCTAATTGTAGCTGATGAAGACTACGAACAATGTAATTTACCGCAGTGTCTGAGGTAAGTTTGAATTTATTGTTATGTTTTTTGAGAAGCAACTGATTTCTAGAAATATTTTCAAAGACAAATGTTTAGGCATATTTATAGGTTTTCTGAACAATGAAGTGACACAAAAAATCGTTAATTTTTGGTTGAGGAAATATTTTTTAAATTTGTATATTGTTTCCAATAAAAATTCTATAAACGTAGTTCACGAGACAGTTTATAGATAAAAACAGTTTTGGTCCACGTAACTATAGTCTATTCATGGTTTAAAACAATTCTCAGGCCGAAATGAATATTTTTAGATATTCCACTTTCTGACGAAATGGATTAAAATTGCACTAATTAGGCAGAAACAATGATCAGGACAGATTTGTGGTCGTTATTTCTTCTAATTGTTCAAGAATAAGAGATACAATGTAATATTAGGTTGTACCACTCCAAACTTTTGCTACTAAGGATTTTGAAGAAAAAAGTGCCTAATTTACAGTAAAGAATTTTTTTAAAGAAAGAATATTTTTATGAAGCCATGATTAATGACTAAAATGTTAGCCAGGGAAGGTTTATGTAGTCTCCAAAGCTCATGGATTTTATTCATAGCTTTACATAAGGTAAAATATTTTGGTTGATATCAATTTCAACTACTTATTCAGTCATCAATTTTTATTCTAAAAGCAAATTTTACAAATATCACAACTGCCCTTTTTTGAGAACTGCTTCTTAAGTCAAAATATTTAAAGTTTTTATAAAAAATTCATATATTAATTTATTAACAAAATTATCACTTAAACGATCACCACTCTCATTCACAATTGAACACATTAGATATTAGAAAAATACACCAAATATACTCCAATTTGCATTTCTCACATTATTATTAGAAATAAATAAAATGCTCCTAAAATGCTCAACCCGACTTCTTGGATTGCAAATCATGAAAAAAGTAGCTTAATGAATTACTTTTGTCTGAGGAAGTAGTACTAATTATATCTGAATATAATACTCTCATGATCAACAGTCAATTACACTTATGACGGCGAGAGAAGAGTTTGTTTACCCATTTGTTACGTTGTATAGTGAATATCTTCATAGATTCCTCTTAAATACATGGCACGTTTTAAGAGAAATAATAACTCTATTTATTCGTTTATTAGGCATTATAAGCAAGTGTAATGAACGAATCAGAGTTGCACAAAAAAGTGTAGTTTAGGAACTATGCAAAAATGTATTGTAATGTATCTCTTTTTGTGGACCAATTACAATGCGCAATGCAGTTGCGTCCCATCTCTCCTAATTTGTTACGCCTCGCATAGCCTCAGAGCCACTCTGCTTCTTGTCGGTCGCCGTGCGTAGCCTCCCTGCCTCTAGCCGGCCCTGAAGAGAAAAGCACCTTCGGCCCAGTCGTCTTCTATCTTCAACACCAGCCGTAAATACGTCTTTCTGCGCCCACACCCGCCTCCATCAAAGCATGTGATACTTCACACACAACATTGTCTCCCACTAAGAAACAATGCTTGACAAAGGAATGCATTCACACGGTAGTAGACAGTAGCCAGAACGCCGCGTGTCTCATACGCGTATTTCAGAGCAATATGTCACACGCAAGTGTGCACCCTGACAAACTCCTTGCTCTGTGGTGTAGAAAAAAACAAGAGAATGATAAAAAATACGAAAAAGTAAGGAAGAGAGGGAGACACAGCTGTTCAAAATCTTACGAGCTCGATAAAAAATTCGAGAAGACGGTCAAATCAACAAGTGCGAACCCGTCTTGCGGTCACGTGATGAGCGAGGAGCGCGCGAGGAAGTAGAGGAAAGTGGAAAGGAGATTAGGCAACGCCGATCAAACTACACACCTAGTAAATTGACTACTACTTATTTTATTTATTACTAAGCAGAATTATTTGAGAGAAAGGTTTGAGAATCAAACTTTCTTGCAGAACTCGTGTAGCCAATAGAAGGCAGTAGCGTGATGGGTATCACAGTCCTGTAGTGAGAAGCCGAAATGCTTTGCCCTACTCTGTTTCGGCTGTAATGCGCGCGAGTACATTGTGCTAATGACGTGTACAAAAATCACGATCAAGCGCAGCTCCCATTTAGCGACTCTTGTCGCGCACGCGCTCCAGTGACACGTGACGGTCGGAGGCGCACATGAGGCACCTGAGATTACGTGTCAGCCAGAAATCGCTTCATCGGGCGGCTTCGCTATCGTCATCTCATCCAAAGTCGGCGCCTGGCCTTTGCAAAGTGACCTGGATGAGGAAAAACGTCATTTGCGCACAGCGACCTCACCTTCCATCATCGTTGCAATGACCCATCCCGAGAAGTCGTCCGTTATGCCCGTTGTGACTCAGATGTGGAGCCGTGCCAGCCTGAAGGACGCGCCCGTGCAATTTCTAAAGGATCAGGTAATCCGGTAAGGCAATGTGCAGAATTTATTTGCATAGTAAGAGAGTATTACAGATAATCTGAAAAAAAAACACCATGGCCTATTTTTCAAGAGAGATATTATTTGGAGTGCCGTTTGAGTCCTCGTATACGTGCACCACAACTTCATCAAGGTTATCTGAATTCGTAAACCTTGTGATAAATTGATTGATGATTCCGGACCCGCCAACTGCTAAGGTCATTAGTTCCGTAAGTATAGTGCATGGTTTGGTCGCGGGAGGTAGCGGTGATCTCCCCGCCGAACAGCGAGCGCCGACACTATTCGTCGACCTGCTGAGTTTTCCCCAACCAGGTATCTCTCTCCAGCGGGGCACCGTCTCAGCTGGGATAAGCTCTAAGCTCCTGATTGGTCTCCTAACATGAGTGGTAGTGTAAGTGTGTGTGAGTAGGGGGCGAGGATAAGAACAAGGAAGAGGAAGGAAAGATCGCACGCGGTCCTTGGTTCATTTGTTAGGATACTGCTTCAGGATTCGTGTGGTGTTGATTAAATAAACCACGGAAAACCACTGATCAGAGCAGCTGGTCGTTAGAATTCTCCTACAGAAAGAAGATAAATTCGACTAAGCTTTCTAGTTAGTGTCGAAAATCCTACCTTTGTGGGACTCGTTTACTAGGACATCCCGGCTTGAAGCAGCGCATTGACATCAACTGATGCGCTGAGCTGTCTAAGCCGGTCGTAAATATTGTGAACAGTAGAATGTTTTCTTCATAAAGTGTTTGCAGATTACAGAGGTTGTTCTCTACCACTAACTTCAATGCGTACTTACTTTTCCATTTCAACATCTCCAATAACATTAGCACGGCAGTACATTAAGGCAATTGAATAATTGTACATTATGCTACTAGTTCATAATCTCAAACTTTATTGCATGAGTACCTGCTCCGAAAACGAGCAACGTTAGGTGAGAGTTTTCAAATATGTACGAATGTAGTATAGCAACATTATAGGTGCATACACTATTTCTTGTACAACATCATTATAAATTTATAGGAGAATCAAAGTTAATTTTCGGAAACAACTTTATTGTGATTTGACGGCTGTTCCTTTTACCAGTAGCTCTGCACGATTTTCTCTCTGCGATTGGCTGAATGTGTGAGGGCGCAATTATTTGTGCCTTAAACGGAAAATAGTCATCTTCTGTACCATAAGATTTCTTTCTTTTCTTTCTTTTCTATTCTTTGTTTTCTTACGTACCTTTTTTATGTCTCATCTTTTTCTTTCTTACGTCGTAAAGAGAATGCATTGCAATGCTGCAACGGAAAGAGGCGATTTGTCGGGCGAGGAGAATCCGATTGGTCTTCACTTGGAGACTTACAATTGTTTGTATGAAGTTCACTGGTTACCAAATGAAATTCCGCGTAATAGTGTAATGGAAATGAGTCCATCGGAATATCATAGAAAAGTTAAACTTCTTTTATTTCACGCAAATGCTGAGTATCCAGGAATAGAAAAAATGATTCAAACTTCAATAAATATCAGCTATTGGCAGAATAATATTAACTTTTCCTGTCATTGTTTACGCGAGTGCACCCTTTTATTTCATTGATAGAATATTGTATATATTTGTGAATGACTATATTGCGTTATTTTGTGAAAATAAAGGAACCATATCTGCCGAAAGCTATTGAAACGTTTCGGTGAATTTTTGTCTGCAGAAATATGCGAGAAAAGAAGCGACTCAATCCCCGAAAATAGAGAAAGAACAGGGAAAACGTTTTCAAACAGTATCGGCGATTCTGCTGTGAAAGAAATCATGAACACTCATCAGTATCAAATGAAGAGATTTTAAAC